CGTAGGACAGCGTTCTGAGCGCATGCCAGCGTTTTCGGGCACTAGGAAGGTATGGGTATCGTTTCAGCGCACGCTCAGAACCCTGACGCAACGTATGAACGCACCCCAATAATTCAGCGTTCATACTTCGCGATCGGACCACTCGATGGATTGGAGGACGCGATCCAATCGCTCGATGATCTGATCGCCAAGCCTAAACGCGGCCTGAAATGGAAAGAAGATAAACTGCGTCGCCACTTCCACCACAGCGTTACAGTGCCAAGCCGTAATGGCTGTTTCGCACCCACTAAAGCAGGTTTTATTCAGTCAATCCAGACTAAGTATAACCATGCGAGTGGCATGGAAAAAGTTACCATATTTCTCTTCAACTGCTTTCATTTATTCTTTACGTATTTTTATCGAATTACAGATCTACAATGACTAGCCGTACTTTAGGCTCGGACACGCCCTGAATAAGACTTCAAAAGACAGTTTACTTTTGATTCATTGCAAAAACAATCAAAACATTGGTTTCAACTGAAAAAAATTAATTAGAACATCTCCAACAAATCGAAATGATGAAGTGTAAAAGTGGAGGCAAAAAGTAGGGCAGTCACTGCGAGTGAAATAAACGATGAGTCACGTTGTGTGTAACTATTTATAATCACGTGTGATGAGGAGTTCGAGAGATTTCAAACATACCGAAAGGATGAATGTCGCACATGAGTGAATCTCGCATGCCTCACTTTCAATGCGGAAGACATCGATTTGTTATAAGAACATGGTCAAAAATCGGAGGGAAATTCTGACGCTCACAATTATCACACCTAAAGACAGCCCCGCGCTCAAGTAGTACATGGTCGTCCTTCCTTGTGCAGGTAGTTCAGCCCCCAAGCTAGATACTGTCCCACTCTCGCGACTCCACAGTGAGCGAGGAGCGAGCTACAGCCGCTCAAAGTTCTAGTTCTAACGCCCGCTCAGTTGGACCGCCCCACTTGCTAGCTGCCCTCTGACGGAGAGCCGCTCAGTTGTTCTTTGTTGGGACGGCGGGCATTAATCGGAACTGCATGTACTTTTTGCTGACCGCGCTCGTGCCCATAAATAATTCTGCTCTCCTTCATCACATTTTATTCATTGGGAGCACATCAACTGCAACCCATCTCGTAAGGTAAAACGCGTAAAAATCACGAATGATGCAATTTCTGTGGTGCAAAAGCTCGACATGCACCAAAAGCTGCACACTGCACGTAACCCCAAATTCGGACGCCAGGTTTTTGAATTCTTCTTTTTTAAACAAGTGTTTTTTTTTCCGTTTCGTGTCTTTGTTGGTTTTTCATTGTCCTTTCTTTGAATTGGGGTGATGGCACTACTTGCGGAAATGCCCATTAAAGCGATTTGTGAGCCAGGGGTTGCCCACGGACCGCAGGGCGGTGTAACTGTAAGGGAGCAATTTTGTTTGTGGTGTTCTTGAGGGCTCTTGTTGCTTTTTTCCTTCATTGAGGAATTACTTATCAGCTACTGTTTCATAATTGATCAGCAATTATCCTTGACACTTTTATCGCGGGAGCTGTCTTTAAGCACTTATACCCTAGTTCGCTGCGGATGAAGGGGCGTGTCTGCCAGGTACTCAATATTTGCACATGCCAAAGATTGTTCTCTGCTAACTTGTGAAGCGGAGTTTGTGTGAAAAAAAATACGTGAAAAAGCGGAGTAGAATTCGAATACATGAACATTCCTTATTAAACTGCTTCCTTCAACGACTGGTGGCAGAAGAGTCGATTAGACCGGCGTGGCGTGCAGGGGCCAATTCGAAATGCGCGGCTGTTTCCAAAGTTGTGCCTCAATAGATATTAGACGGGAGCACCGTTTACAAGGTGAAAGTTCCTATTGTCTTCAAGGTGTGCTTAATGTTGATTTCATGATCATACGTAAGACCTGATAACCACTTTTTCGCCTCTGCCTAATGTATACCTTTGCAAAAAGCATAAATTCCAATCTAAGTTAATTCTTCCTCTCGGAACTTCTTAGTTCAAGCAGTAGAAACACACAGCTGTTTAATAAGAAGGAAATTATCGTCTCCAAGCTCAGGAAGAAGCGCTGAAGCCTAATTATATCCGTCCACGTCAAGCCCTCGCCCTATTTTGGCCACGCCCACCGG